GGTGCTAATGTCTCGGAAACTGAAGTGAAGCCCCGAGATTTTATTGTTTTTTTTTCATGTACCAACCAGAGTAGTCTGGACGTCTGACATTTGCGCGGGTTTTTTTTATTGCTCGTGATGATCTGTCGGGAATTCGGGAGGAGTTTTTTGTTATACAAAGGAGCAGTGATTGATGCGTTTGTAGGTTTTGTCTGAGGTTGCGGTGCGGTTAGCCACTGATGTGATGTTGCTGACGAACAACGAATCGTTTCATGTGCTTTTTAACAGCCTGCTGGGCCAGGCCTCCATCAATCATCTTCATCTTCACATGCTCACATGGCCCTATGATTCGGACTTGATCAATCGTGTAAGTGACAGCTGTTTTTCTGCTTTCTCTTCCTCCAGCGCACACCAGCTCTCACATGCTGCATGTCTCCAGGGAAATAACTTCACAAAAAAAAATAAAATCATCAGGAATTTTTCTTCCTTTTTTTTTAAAAAAAAAAAAAACTGTTTAATTTGCAATCTCACTTCTCTTTTTAAACATTTTTTCTTTTTTTTTAAACTGGGCCTTATTTTTGTGAGATACGGGGTGATCGTTGTTGCTAGCTGATCGCCTTATTGCATGGCCGATGGGGAAGTAGACTTCTTTCTGCCTAGAAACTACGACCGATGTTATCTTCCTGGAAAATTTGGCCGACTTCGGCAGCCTATTCAATGATTATGACTGTTCTCAGTGATGTCGACGTAGTGAGCAGGCGAATGTTTCCATGCTGGAAATTACATGGGACATCTTTAAGTTTTTAAGAAAAAGTTTCAAGTTTGAACAAAATAAGCCCTTCTAAAATGTGAAATTTTTTATGAAGCGCATTTTGATTTTTTTTGAAAATAAAGTCCTTTTGCATAGCGCGGGGGGAATTGGAATTTTGTCAAACGTTCTGGAAAACTGGTTGTAAAGAGTATGCATGCCAAAGTGCTCTTTTTTTTTTAAAAATCAGTAACTTATTATTACCTTCAGTGCCATGACTGTATCAAAAAAGGATGATTTTACTGGATTTTTAGTTTCCTTCGCTAGAAAGGATGTTAGATCACGTGCAGTGACATTGAAGCGCCGATTTTAGCAAAAAATCAGGGTGCGGATCCAGGATAATGCGCTGTAGTTCTGAATTTTTGCAGAAATGTGAACACCTGTACGATAATATTTATGTTATGAAACGCCCAGTGTGGTATGCGCATGCACTGGTTTCTCAGCTTCCTTCACCGGATCACTACGAGACGTTTGTCAAGTAAGTGCGCTTTTTAATTAAATCGAAATTTCCCTCATAAAGTGACACGAGAGACATTTTTTTTTTTCTCTTTAATCTCAAGATGGGACCAGGATAAGTGAGGGAGGTGAAAGAAAGGAGCTTGAACCTCATCCGACCATCTGAGTTTATGTGGATTTTAACCAGTGAAGGCGTATTTTGCGGCCACCCATCTAAGCTGATTGTAGCATGATCGTAGCTTGCAAGTAATGTTAGGAGCTTAAGGAGAGTAGGCTATGTATGGATGAATGTGATAGAGTTAGTATGAAAGAACTAAGTATGAATGAGTTAAGATTTTTCGAGTTAAGACCTTTAAGTCATATACGTTTAGCTCAATCTAATTTGCTGCGATTTGCTTTTACTTAGACTCCCGATCGAGTACATATGCGTTTTATGAACAACGTTTCATTTAGGTGGCGAGCTCCTGCCACTTT